AAATGAAAGGAATTATTTTCTTCCAACCAAATTGTGTAACTGATATCATATTTACCATTTATATTTAATTTTTCAAATGGTCATTTGAGAATTTTATCTCTTCTATATAAGGATCTGTGTTTAAACAGTGATCATCCAATTGTTAGAGCTCATGGATGCTTTCTTCAGTTCTAGATTCTGATCCTGTTTGAACTGTTGACTCACATTTTAATCCCTGGCCAAACCTTCTTGTACCTCCATAATCCCAGCTGGAAAATTAGGTAAAATAAAAACATGACCTCATTAAGAAACAGATGCTTCATCTGAGCACTTCTTTCCCAAGTAAACACATTACAGAGCTTCTGGTAACTTTTTTTAGGATGTGGTTCTGTGTCCCCTTGACCATTGGTCAGTTTAGGATCAGGAGACAGGAGTTTGAAATTTAGTTTAATTCGCAGACCAAAGTTCAGAAAAACAAGCAGTTTCCTTCCTGAGGTTAATAGTGTAAGTCAGCCATAACTGTACAGCAATACCTAAGTTGAATAGGAAGCCTGCCTACCAGTTTCCCTTAATGTGTCCTGACTCCTCCACTTGTTATCACTGATTTTCCAACAGTGAATTCATTGATAAATTTAAAGAGACTCGATGTTCTTTAAATCTCTCTTGGGAATTCAAAAATGAAATTTATTTAACAAAATACATAACCTATGTACCAATTTAAAAAGAAGATTGTCACACTGGAAGAATACTCAAATGACCAATTGTTTGCTATTTCTACAAGAACAATATAACTGAGAATTGATACTAGGGGCTTTGCTTTGACATAATGCACCATTAAACTTATTTCATTAGTATAATTCAGGAAAAAAAAAAAAAAAACCTCTTTCTTGATCTTATTTTGTGGGGTGGGTACTTATTAGCACGGCTTTTGTATGTATTAAGAAGAGATGGATATTTCCTAACAAATTATACCTTGACTTTTGCTGGTGACTTCAAACATCAAAATTTATTTTGAAGTGTGGGAACACCTCACATTTTTCCCAAAACATCTCTTGAGTCTCTCAGAAAATACTCATGGATTAGATAGTTGTATTATTCTGGAAATTTCACTCTGGCTTCAATCTGTCACTCCCTCCCCAATTTATTTTGAGACCATTATCAAGTGAATATACTATATTAGACTGTTTAGCCTTTCATTACCTCAGAATATCAGGTGAGAAGTTTCCAATTACATCAAGAATTAAGGATTCTCTACAAAAGATAGCATTGTAAACAGAATTGCCCAAGCAAACTTCTTTTCGATGTTTTGCATGTCTGCTAATTACAAATGGCTCTAAATACAAATACTGTTTCTTCCCCAAAACAATACTTTGTGATATTTAGCTGAAGCCGCAACAGTGAATGGCTGCCTCTAAATCTCCCTCCACCTTTTCTCTCACTAGTTTTCACTCCTTGTTTTACTGAAAGAGCTTTCTCAAAGATCTTTTTTAGCTCCCAGTTCTCCCCACTCTTCTGTTCCTACTTTGTGACTCTGGAGAAGGAAATAACTTCATCTCTTCAAGGGCATGAATTGCCTTTCTCTGAGTTTCTTGATTCCATTCCTATGTCCCTTCCACCAACCTTGCTGCTGTGTATTTCTCTAAAAGCTCACTGTGAAATACAACGTAATGAAAACAACAAACTCCTTTAGTGTTTTAAACGCTTTCTCCAACACTTCTTCAGATGCTCCAGGAGCTGTTTCAGCCTCTGCGGCATGAATGTCTTAAGTCCCATCTGTGGGTGATGCTGCTGGGGCCTGCCTATTTCAGAAATCCTTCATCTCCAGTCCACACCATTCATTATGAACAATCCCATAAATGATTTATGAGCAAATTTCTCCCTGAAAAGGCAGATGTCTGAGACACTTAAGTCCATCCTGTATGATAAGTCTAAATTTTGATTCACCTTTGCGACTGTTTGAAATACACAGTTGTCAGCTGTGATGTTATATTTTAATTTCCTAGAGTCCAGATTTCCTGTATTAGTAAGCATCAGGGTCATAGTGTGAACTCTCATGTAAGCTTCCTTTTAAAGTATCTTCATGCTAGTATATGGATCTTGTCATTTCAGGGTTCAAGGATATTGGAAAATTTAAGACTGACATTAGACATCTTAGCAAAACTGACTCATATTTTTAAAATTCTACTCCATTTGCTGTTCACATCCTTTAGTATGTGTGTCACATCTTTCCTGAAGAGCATCCAAGCATTCCTCACATTGATCTTCCTTTTCAATTTCCATCCAGCTCCTGAGGGGAAGTCACATGGGTCTCTCACTGTGACCTGGTTCCAGCCACTCTGGAACTCACTGCCTGTTTCAGGGGTGCTCACATGTTCTTCCCATTGCCTGTGACTCTCCCTGCTCTAGAGAGAGTCTGCCTCTCCCAGCCAGCTCATGGGCTTACCCCATGGAGAGCAGAAGGCTCATTTGCTCTTTCAGTTAACCCCCACGCAGTCCATTTCTGCCTGACTCTGGGGATCTTAGAAAATTCACATCTCTTTTCAGCTTTAGAGGAGTGTGGAGCTAAGATTTGTTCATGATCAGCATGGCAATCTTCTCTGGTACAATTTCTTAGATGTAACTTTAGTGGCAATTGAGTTACTGGTAATTGAAATGGAGAAAACTATGTTATATGCATTCATGAATATGTCAGAATGAACTCCATTCTTATGTATAACTATGATGCCTTAAAATTAATAAATAAAAAGATTCTATGGATTAACTAGTAAATTTGGGTAGCAAAGAGAAAATATCACAATATGATGCCACATAGCATGTCAAATGATCCATTAAATTATGCCATCTTAAAAGTAAGATGCCTTGCTGAAATAGTTAAAATGTTTTACGTTTATATGCCTTGCCCCTCTACATGAAAGAAAAAACCAAGGTACTTTCCCAGCCCCTCAAAGTGAATTTGATGTTGGCCATACGGCCTGTATTTTAAATCAGAAATCTAAAATCTAGCCTCCAAATGAAGTGAAAATCCCTTGATGCAGTAATAAAACTGCATATGGAAAGTGCTATTTATATCAATTTGAAGGAAAAGGCTGTTACTCCATTTAATGCATATGGATATTATGAAATAGAATGCAAAAATCACATTTTTCAAAATAGAAAATCTGGATTCAAATATATATTGTATTACAGAGGTTACTTTGGGCCACTTTTCCTTTTTTCTCTTATGTACCAGATCAAAAAGTTAAATATAAAATTTTTCCACACAACTCCCACAGTGCAAGCTGATAAAGCTTCTACCTTGAAAAAGTTCAGGATCTGTGCAATGGATTCTCAATGAGTGTTTGTTTGACAAAATGACTTCCAGTAATTTTAAGGAAGATTCTGTTTTTCTGTGGTCTGTGATCCTAAAAAATCTTAACACACTACTCAAAAATTAGATGGTCCCTCCTAATCTGCCTTTGCACGTTATCCAGGACATACTTTATAATGTCTGATGCACATTCATGCTTTTGTCCAAACAAACTGAGCATAACAGTGGGAGGGTTTTCCAGAGAGACCTTGCTAGCCTCATAAATACTGTTGAAGTCAATTACCAAATAAATAGCATAAATATGTGGCGACTTGGAAGGTCACCGAGCCCTAGTCACTTAATTTCAGCCACAACAGCAGTCAGCTGCTCAGTGAACAATTTTATTATGAGGTGTCAGTGATTTAACAAGTTGGCCAAAAGTAGTCGGAATGCAGCATGAAAGATTTCCTCTCTGTTGAGTTTGACCGTGCATGCTGGACTCCTGATAGAATGGCCCAAGTTTCTGTACTTGGCACTCAGGAACCAAAGGAAAATGAAGGAATCAATTTGCTCTATTATATTCTACATGCTTTTCAGTGGGTTTTATATGATTCTACAAAGCTTTGCTAAAAACACTGATAGGGTAATTTGTTGCCTACTTTTTAGAGTTTCTGCAAACTGCTAGAACTGCTTACCTGAGGTTTTCTTTTTTAAGTAGCCTTTTAGATATATTGGGGAATGTCAATTTATCCTTAGACTGCTTGAAAATTGGTATTAGGTAATAAAAAGTAATTTACTCAGATTATAGGAATGTGGTGATGTACTGTGTGTAATGGTATCTGACTAACAGAATGGAGATAGTGTGGGCTGGGATTACAGAGAGCCTGGTTGGGAGATTTAAGCACAAGTACCACCTGGCTGATCAATCACACCCCAGTATCTATTTGCTTTGCAGTCTCGAACACTCCATCAAGGGCATCTTGATCTTTCAAACATTTCTTAAATGGAGATGAATATACTTTCAAAATAAGCCATTTATTTGTGAGACTAGTAATCAGTCACAGCTCCCTAAATAACAAAAAGAAATGAAGGTATGAAGTAAGCTTACATTTTCATGGAACCTAAAAGCTACTCATTTTCCCTCTCTGTCTTTGCCTCTCTGGTACAACTCACATAAATACTTATGTACATGACCAAGAAAATAAATCTCTGACATTCAAGAACCATCTCTCAAGGGTCTGCAACTTGCATGGCATTAAGTTAAATGCAAAGGTTTCAACAGAGAATTGGGGACAGATGCACTTTGATCTCATGGGGCTTAGGGTTGATCAGAGAAGGCAGAAAATTAGACAATCAAAATAATATGTGGTGAGGGCTATGACATAATCCCACAGTTGCCTCGCAAATTCTAGATTCTAAATAAGGCTTTGTTTCTATGTGTCTTTGAGCATATGTGAGCCAGATGAATTATGGGAATATCCATTCTCAAATTTTTCAGTTTTCTTCCAAATGTTCACCCCAAGTAATGGTTCCACTAACTATATGCAGCTTTTATTTCTCTAGAGTACAGTCTTTGGGTGAGAAAGAAATTAAAATGAACTAATTTATAATTGGGGAACAAAAAAAATCAAGTGTCAGCATAATTGTCAGGGAGAAATAGAAATGCAAAACCACTCATCATTGGCACTTCCTTTATTCTTTCCCACATTTGTGCCTTCTCTGTTCTCTCCCTTAGGACATCTACTTGGCCTCTCCCATGACGATTCCAAATTCTGTGAAGAGAACTTTGGTTCCACAGAAGATAAGCGCTTAATGTCTTCCATCCTAACCAGCATTGATGCATCCAAGCCCTGGTCCAAATGTACCTCAGCCACCATCACAGAATTCCTGGATGACGGCCATGGTATGTATCCTTCAGGACAACAGAGGCTCAACGGAAGAAAGCTGGGATTCTTAGGCACTTTACTTTATTGCTTTCCCATAATGTTCATTTTGGTTGTTTAGACAGTGTCAAAATAGGAGCAAGGAAATTGATTGTCTGTTGGTGTGTAATGCCAGCATCCCTGGTGGCTTTATAGCTATGGTATTTTTGCTTTTGAATTGTAAAGTTCAAAAGAGAAACCGTGTGGGAGACCACACAGAATGCCTAGCGGGTGCCCTGAAAGCCTGGCTTTTATTCCCTCTCTCACCACTGGCTTCCTGTGAAAACTTTGGCAGACATCTTGGTTTGCCTGCTATTAATACGACTCTCAGAATTATTTGTTACATGCCTATTACAGGGGTGTGGTTTAGGTGTAGGTGACAGTTCTACCGGATTCTCTTTATGGCAACATAAAACCCGCAAAGGAAGCGCTCTAGATTTTCATTGACTGGAAGAATTTGATTTCATTCTGACAGCAGATTCCCCTGAAAGTAGAATAAAAACTGCAGAACAGAAACAGAAAAAGGAATCTAAATGATGGGAAAGCACTTTAAAACTTCAAAAGAAAGTCTTTGACTTTATCCTTTAGAGACAGTTCAAGAACATAGTACACTTTATTAAATCTTTAAGACTAGGATTAGAGCTGTAAATTATATAGAAATAGAGGAAGTTATAATTTTTAGAAATAATAAATCCTAGCCCCGAAATAATCTCTGAAACAAGCTGTTGCAAATTTTCTCACATCCTTTATTACTTAAAATTAATAGGAAATCAGGAGGGTGGACACATGAGCATCAAGGAGAGATCTTCAGATATCATATATTTCACTTCACATCATCTACTAAAAAGGACATATTCTTCATTTTTGCCCTTTTAAAATCCATCTCTTTCTAAAATTGGTGCTTAAATCAAATATCATAATAATTTTTCATAAAGTTACCTTATGGTGTATGGTTCAGCATCTGTGATGATGGCCTTTCCCAGATCCACAAAGTTTATAACTTATTATATTTGTAATTTCTTAAGAGTGTTAGGCATCTTGAACTTTGGCCACACAGTGTCAAAATGAGGATAATTAAATTCATTTCAGACAGAAAGAACTTAAGCCACACAGTTCTTTGATATTATGTAGCCAGAATTTGCTCATTTATTCCTTCCTGTTACATCACTGATAAACTCTGAAGCCTTTTGCTACTTGCTGCTGTTTACATTATCTATCCCTAAAACTAACCTGAGTCCAGCTTGGTGTAAAATTCCTCTCAATACAAAATAAATGTTGTTTGTTAGTGAAAGGTCAGCCTGATAACTTACAAACTTCAGACTAGACTAGAAAACAATATATTAGGCTTTTCCTTTAGACTAATAATAAAATGAACATTTATGTTTTACTCATTAACAATGCTGGTTAGATGCTGATAAAGTCCTAAAATAAATGTTTACCTAATCTTTTATCTACATGGATCAAGTCAATATGATAAAGTCTGTCTTCAGTGGAACCTTAACACTTCACCCCTAATATTACTTTTGCTGTTTTATTTTTTTCCTGAGAATGAAATAACATTAATATCTAATTTCAGAATCACACTTTGTACATTCCAAAAGGTTGAGCTAAACCTTGACTCATTAAATGAATGGATTTAGTTGCTAAGGCAGCAAATACTTATGGCTAAAATGGGACCAATTTTTTTTTTCCTGAACAAGTATTAGGTCAACTAATTACAATGCTGTGCAGAATTTTGTTCCGTAGTGCCATAATTTTGGAATGATTCGTGTATTTCATATTTTGAAAATCATGATCTTATTTTCTGTGCAGTAAATAGGCTTTCAGCACTGTCTTCAACTTTTAACATTATTTCTGTATTTAAAGAAGTTCATACTCTGAATTTTAACAGTTGTACAACAAATTTACATTTTTTTAATCTCTGCTTCTGTTCAAAAGGACTCTTGATAGAGAATGAGAACATAATTTTAGTAGACATAGATCTTCTTCAATTGTACTGATTAAAATTTCTGAATTTTCCAGATGTATATTAAATAAACATATTCAGTTATTAGAATTCTTTGAGCAGAAAATTCTCAGTTTATGTATTGACTTTTTTCATCAAACTTAGATTCTCTTATTTTTGAATACATTGTTTTGGTTAGGCAGTGTTTTATTCTAGCCAAAACAAAGAATTCTATTTTATGAATCACATATAACGATTAAAGTAATTTCAGAACAATGAAAAATAAAAGAGAGTAGTGTGGAACAGTGGCTAACCTAAATTATGTCTCATTTCTTCTAAAAATAGCATACACATAATTGAAGCTCGTACACTATAGTACTGTTATTTAATTGTGAATTCAGATTAGTTTAATTAACTTTTTAATTGGGACCCTCTAAACTGATTTAAATCATTTGAAGTGCAAAAGCAGCCACAGGAATTAAGAAACTCAATTTCTAGATGATTGAGGTTCTGACATTTGAACTAAGGCACTTAGGAGCAAACCAAGGAGAATGTCAAAGCTCAAGGAAGGAAGAAAAATGAACGTATATTTTGTCTAAAGATCAAAAGACTTTAGGATCCTTGTCACAAAACCTTTCACTTTATCCTAGGAAGCTATGCAGGCTTCCAGTCAGATGCCTGTTATTCATATTTTACACTTTTACTGTTTTTCTGCTCTAATTTTCTAGGACATTAACAATGTTAAGCAATAAAATAGTTGTGGGGGATGGGGAAGAGTTCAGATAGGTAAACTGAGGGCAAGAAGTAGCACTGTTTAACAATAAAAAAGAAACAAAAACTGTAAAATATAGCCCAAAACCATAAAATGTCCAGTGGTCTGACACCATTTTCCAAAAGGTCAAAAGTGCTACCACATTAGAATTATCCCTAAAGTTACCTCTATATTTTGGCATGATGTAATAAATTCAGAAAAAGAATGATTTTTCAGTTATTGAGGAAGGCTAAATGGTAAAACTAGTATAAAGACTGAAAAGCAATTGTTATTTTTTTAAGTAGGTAATTCTCAATTATACAAAATGTGTGTAATTGTGTCTGTGTGTATGTGTGTTGCTGAGGATTGAACCAAGGACCTCATATATGTGAGGTTAAAACTTTATCACTGAGCCACATCTCCAGACCCAAAATGTGCATAATTTTTGATGGTATCTTGGTATCTAAAGATTACTTTATCTGGAACAACCATCCTATATAATATCTTATCCTTCCCTTCCCACCTCCAAAAGAGCTGGAGACATGAGAAACTAAATTCGAAGCACTTGATTTATTTTACAATTATTAGCTATAAGTGGCTGGACATTTGTAGCACTCAACCACTGCCAAACCTAAATTCATTAGCACTGAGTGTTTCCTGATTTAGATCCAACAAGAAATATGCAGCAATTAATTTATGGTTGAGAAGCCAATGTGCACACTCAAAAGTAGCTGTCTCTGGAGATTGGTGATTCAGAAAGGAGTAGCCATGTCCCCTGGTACTCCTCTATGCCTGGCCAAGAGACTTGCAGAAGTCCTGAGTGTTTATACCCATTAGTTCTAGGCAAGCTGGCCGGGAGTGTGCTCTTCTAAAATAAAGGTAAGCACTGCCAGAGAAATTGTGCAGTGAAAGCAGGTTATTGAATTTCCTCTCTCCAATGCTTAATAACCTTGAGGCCAAAAAAGATAGCTGTGTTTGCTGTATCTCCGAGTCCACAGTGCCAGATGATGAGAAAGGCCACCACCCAGGTAGGGACAGCTCAAGATCACCCGCAACACAGGCTGCTAAGAAGAATCTGCAGACATCCTTAAAATATTAACATGTAGCTTATTTTAAGAGCAAAGTTTATAGTCCCTCACTGAACATTGAACTTTAGATAGAAAAAAATGGTTTTGGAAAACCAGGTCTCTGAATCCTTTGCCAATTTTACAGCTTATCTGATTATATAATTTAGCATAAGAGCTCAACATTCAGTTTTTAAGGTAGTCTTAGTAAAATTCAAAGTCACTATGGTTGTACCTTGATTTTCACAATAAATGTTCTTTAAAAGGAAATGCAAATAAGACATCTAAGGCAATGGTGACCTATATTTTTCAAAAGCTTTGCTTCCCCCTTTAGATTGAGGAGTTTTCAATCTTATTTCCTTGCCATTCCATCTGCTGAGTGTGCACCTTATGCCTCTAACAGCTTCTCAAACAGACTTTAGAGTTACTTTAGGTCAGTGCCCTTTGTTCTTTTCTCAATGCCCTTGTTCCGTTATCTGCCTCTATCTCCCAAATGACTCATGGAATAGCAGGCAAATGCACCCATTTCTCTTTTAATGTCACACATTTCAGCTAAGACCTGAAAGAAAAAGCACAAAGACACAGAGATGAAGTAGGAAGCAATGAGACAGCATATGAAGTCCTGTTGGGCCTCTTTGGATGCTTCAGTGGGGACAATGATTTCTTCTATGCTATGGCTATTTGGGGGTCAATTCTTAATTTTATGCCTGAGTATTGAAAGGATGGAAAGATTGAAATAACTGAAGTGCTAGAATTACAGAAGGAAAGTGAAAATATAAAGAACAGCAACGTTCATCTGATAATTCCCATGCAACATTTATATGAAAAATGAATAGTGCTAGAGGTTAGGTATGTAAAACCAGAGATCACCTGGAGGGAAGGACTATCTTCCACCCCATCAGTGGCCAGATGGAAACAACCACATTCTTTCTGTTGTCTATCTCAAATCACCTTATTTCACTTTTTTATCTTTTGCCTTATTTTAAACATTTAATTCACCATGGACAGTAAAAATTTATGAAATAGGCACATATTTCTATCAACTTTGTTTTATAAACTATCCATTTTACATACACAATATGTTAAAGCTAAGAAAAGAATGAAAGAAGAGAGGGAGGCAGGAACAAAGAAGCAACTTGGCAGTTTGTGGACAAACAACAACAACAACATCAACAACAACAACAACAAAAACAGTAACTGTTGGTAGCAAAGCCCAGATAGAATTTCAGACTAGGATAAATTTATGAAATAGATATGAAAAAATGACTGAGAATAAAAGATTAAGAGGAAGTCAGTAGATAGGGTGCCTATAGAAGTCAATGAAATGATACTGAAAAATTGATCAGTTTCCTTTTCCCCTCAACTATGCATTTTGAAAAGTGAAAAATGTGTATCTAATCCAGTATTAATTAAATTTTAAACATTTTATACCATGAGATTAAGAATCAGGCTGTATAATGACTTTGTTGTTGTTCCCTGGAATGGGTCTGCCATTTAGTAGAGATGTCCATACTATTTGATTGCAGAAGGACATACATCAACTTTTAAAAAGGACATCTATAGACTGTATAACTCAGAGTATGCAGAAATGGTACAGTAACATATTCTAAGACAGAGAACATGGTGGTAATAAGTTAGCTATGTCGATCACTTGATAAAAAGAATTTTTTTTTTATTTTCAAAGGTTATCTCCACACAACCTCTAAGGAAAACGATATACCTATTTCTTAATAGCAAAGCAAATGTGTTCTTGGTTTTCAAATTTTATAATTTCTGAATTAAGTGTCATGAAGAGAACCCACATCTTGAAGTCTCCTTGTTGTTGGCTGATTTCAAATAGTTTTCCCTCTATCCATCTCTTCACTCATTATCAGCTGATGAGGTAGAGTCAGTGTCAGTGACTTTGCAACCATAGTGAGTTTGCGACTCATTTTGCCTCCAGATAAGTAAAGTAGACCCGTGCCACATGCATTCACACCTGGTAAAGACTTCCCAGATAATATTTAGTTACTCAGTCCCAAGATCTGTGCTTTTGAGTAAAAATTTTTAAAAGTTTCTTAAGACAGCACTTTTGAGGAATTGGAAAGCGTTCTTGCTGATTCAGATTTGTTGACAGTCTTCTAACATCAGCAGTCTGCTAAGCCATTCTGGTTTCCACAGCGTGCTTTTTCCATCTAGCAATGAAGATAACGCTCTCCGCGGAGTTCTGAAGTGCCTCATCTTGGTCCTGTAAACAGAGCTTAGTGAGGTTTTCCTGTCATTCTTTCCTATTGACTTGATGTGGATGTTTTCCTTTCAACTTGATGTTTTTCCCACACATTCTCTTTGGCAGGCCTTTTACTTTTAATGCTTTTTCTGGGTTCCCTTCAGAAGCTTTACCTCTTCAAACACCCTGGCTCAGAAGTTAAATGGGAACTTCGCTCTTTATTCATTTTCATATAATGCCTCCATCACAGATGGACAAATTCTAAGGTATTCACTTTGAAGAAACCTGAGTGTCGCTGTAAAAACATTTGCAGAACACTTAAGAGGGGTTACTTCTCAATAAAAAATAAGGATTTGAATTTGTTGAATCAAAAGAATAATACATCTAAAAGGTTGACAGATACGTTGGACAGAGAACTATCTATCTTTGTTTCCTATTTTTCTGGTCTACCTTTGTATCTGTGTTTGCCAATTTTACCTTTAGACTGTTACAGTGAGGAGAGACACATTTTTTCATAGTGAATTAGGGAGAGGTTAACTGCCTTGGCCAACAGCACTCACCTTGTTAGTGTTTCACCAGCCTTAGAGGGTAGACCAGGTGTTTGTCCCGTTAGCTTAGCTGCCCTTCAGTAGCAACATTAGACAGCTCTCCACATGCTTGCAGAAGACAAAGTGGCATGCAATGAGAAGGGCAGATTCTAGGCATAAGACCCTAATTTAAGTTTTGTGGCCTTGGGTAAATTATCTGCCTCTTATGATCCTCAGTTCTCTTGTCTATAAAGTAAGCAAAATTAATGAAACTGCCTCATAGTGTTCTTGTGAGGATTAAATAAGTTATTACATGTAGATAACTGAGAACAGTGTGTGGAACAAATGTTCGTTATTGTTTTTATTGCCTTTATCATCAGTGTATAAATCTAAAATTAAGTAAAAAAAAGAATATAGAAATAGATGGGCAGTATGCATGCATGTATGACAAAAGAAGATAAACAGAGTAAAGCTCACTGGGCAGGGATTCTCAGGGAAGCATTTTGGGGGGAGAAAGCCCTGTTTCACCTGTGGATCTGCTTCATCTGTGTCCCACCTTCTGTAGACTCTCACCTCACCCCTGTTTGCCTGTGGCCACCCTGATCCCTAATATTTGCAGTAAGACACTAGTGTGGTTTCGACAGATATACTCCAAACACCCAACAGATACCTGTTCTCAAAAGAGTAGATACCAAAGAAAGAAAAAGAAGAGTCAGAAGGCTGGTCTAGTCCTAAATTGTCAAAAATTGTTTCTTTTCTTCTCTCATCACTCCTTTATTCTATGAATCTTGAAAGAATTTCATTCAAATTTCATCAGTCTGAAAGGAACACTACTTTTTTAGTCTCTTTCATTTTATTGGGAGAACTTAAGGGGTAGATGTGGGTCATTTTTTTTCCATATTCTTGATTGTAAGTATGCTTTCTAGAACATTCTAGGTACTAAGCAAATGCTTGTTCAGTGAGTGCTACAATAAATGAGGCACGAACTTGACTATAATGGAACTAGTGGAAAGGAGACATGGGATAAACACATAGGGATAAGGTAAGTGAGAAATAGATATGGGATGTAAATAGAATGCCAAGGATGAATTCTGTTTCTCCGAGTTGTGGAGGATTTATTGTTGCTATTAAGTATGCTATCAGATTTCCTCGAGGTCCATCCTAATTTTCTCTTCTTTTGGTGTTTCAGCACAACGGATATTTTCAAACTATTTCAAATAATTTCGTGTACTTATATGCTGCCAGCCCCACCTCCATTACAGGCATTCCATTACATGCATCACCCACGAAGGGTGATAGAGGGCACTGCTGAGTCCCACCCTTGCGGCTTGCAGAGTCCCTTTTCCATGGAGATTGTGGGTGCACAGTGCTTTGGCCTTATCTGGAGCCTTTAATTGTTAGATCTCCCCTTTTAGCGATGTGAAACCTAAACTTATTACGGAGGTCAATTTCCGTCGTTCTTTTAGGTAACTGTTTGCTAGACATACCACGCAAGCAAATCCAGGGCCCTGAGGAACTCCCAGGACAGACCTACGATGCCACCCAGCAGTGCAACCTGACATTCGGCCCCGAGTACTCAGTGTGTCCTGGCATGGATGTCTGTGCCCGCCTGTGGTGTGCCGTGGTGCGCCAGGGCCAGATGGTGTGTCTGACCAAGAAGCTGCCGGCTGTGGAAGGGACACCCTGTGGGAAGGGGAGAATCTGCCTGCAGGGCAAGTGTGTGGACAAAACCAAGAAAAAATACTATTCAGTAAGTGGCCACCCAAATCCCTGAGACCTCGCATGAGATGTGTATGGGTACTGTCATAGAAGGCTTCTTGGTTAAAAGATTCTTCCTTTCTGATCTATATAAGTTTCATTTTTTGCCTCATTAATCAAACACTGGAGAATATCTGACAATAGGTATTTCTTTAGGAATTTTAGCCATTCACATGTAAATAAATGACCAAGTATCTGTCAAATTGAGACCCCAAGCAGGGCCCCAGAACTCATCTTTTGGAAGCTCACTTTTAAACTCTTCTTGCTAAGATTCCAGATACATTTATTTAAATTTAGTAAGTAAATAGTAGCAGAGTCAATGCCATGGTCCTTATACGTATTTGGCAAGCTCCAAACGGTCATTTTTCTTCCGTTGATAGCAAGTTCATCTAACTTTAGGGATTGCGGTAACCTCTGGCTGCTCTGGGGAAATAGGTTTGCACTAAATGCACAGTCCCAGCTTCAGGTCACAGACTGCCTCCTTAATCTTCAAGGCCAGATCATGCTGAGTGTTCACTCTCACTTGGAAGATTTTGCCAAGTCCCAGAAGAATGCTGCTTTGTATTTATCAACTGTGTTTCTACAGGCTGTCACATAGAAAACATTTGTAGAATGGGTTCCTAGTCTTTAACACTGTCAGATACCCCAACACAGGCAGCCAGAGGTAGTTCTGCGCACATTCCCTGGACAAAATAATGTGAAATATTTTTCCTTTCTGAATCTTTCAGCTTCATCCCACAATGTTTCCAGGGGACTGGACCTAGGTTGTCATTACAGAGCTCTTCCTTCCCTATGGGTACATGACAGATCAGAGTCTGTCACAGACAGAATGCATGATATCATCAGAGGAACCCTAGAGCTTCAGAGCTAAAGAGGGAGAAAGACAAGGACTTGCAATCACAATTGAACAATGCCGGGCCTCCTGCAAAGCTATCAACATTGTGCACTTTATCAAAGACCAGAGATCAGCATGTACAGAAAGAGAACATGGTCCAGTGGTTACCAACAGAGTTGTACAATATCAGAAAGCATAATTTAAAATGTCTCATAGAAAACAGAAGACGCTCTTTGTGGTATCTTAGTATTTAGTAGGATGCATTAGATCCTCTGGCACTGGCTGTAAAGGCTGGGAAAGATGAATTGCTTAGAATTGGAAATGTGTTGCAATTCCAAAGCACGATCATGTTCAATTTGATGAAAATGTAACTGTCATGAGGTTTCCACTGTCTCATTGTATGCAAGTGATTTCTAAAGTACCTTTTGAATGTTTTCCTCCTGAGTTTAAAAAAAAAAAAAGAAAAGAAAGAAAAGCTTCTCTTTTTTATTTCAGACATCAAGCCATGGCAACTGGGGGTCCTGGGGACCCTGGGGCCAGTGTTCTCGCTCATGTGGGGGAGGAGTACAGTTTGCCTATCGCCACTGCAACAATCCTGCACCCAGAAACAGTGGCCGCTACTGCACAGGGAAAAGAGCCATCTACCGCTCCTGCAGTGTGTTGCCCTGCCCACCTAATGGTATGTTACTCTGCCTCAGTAACTACCCTGTGCCACAAGTGTTTGAACTCTAACAGAAATAAACAGGAGAAACTAGGGAAATAACATTTATTTTAGGCTGCACAGTTCCACTAGTATGCAAATCAATAACAAATATGTGAGTGATTTTAAATTATTTGTATAAACAAGTTAGTGTATTCAGGGAACTGGAAGATAATGATCCTACAGACAGAAGTGGAAGACAATGATATAAAATCTTTCAGAGTGGATGCATAAAGAAGCTCTGTGATAAAGTTAGCATCATCTCCTTAAAATTAATTATTTAAATGCACAAGATTAATATGTAAGACTCAGAACAGGTCAAGTGTTAAAGTAACATGTTTTGTTTCCTAGGTAAATCTTTTCGTCATGAGCAATGTGAGGCCAAAAACGGCTACCAGTCTGATGCAAAAGGAGTCAAAACATTTGTAGAATGGGTTCCCAAATATGCAGGCGTCCTGCCAGCAGACGTGTGCAAACTGACCTGCAGAGCCAAGGGCACTGGCTACTACGTGGTCTTTTCTCCAAAGGTAACTACACACTGGCTGTGCAGATGCAGGAGGTGTACTTGGTGCAAATTGTTTGGTAGAATGAAGGCTGTAATGTAAATAGTCATTATTTTGGGGGTGGTTTGAATTTTGGAGATTTTTATTTTCACCTCTATAATTTTTATATTTTCAAACTTTATATAATGAATAAAAACTATTTTTCAACAGAATAAGTAAATGTTTTAAAAGCAATTTTTGGAAATTATCAATCACTGTCAGGGCAAGCTAAGTATGACCTTAACTTCAAAGTAGCCATGAAAACAACTAGTATTTCTTAGGCACATTTGCAAAAGAGAATATAAAGCAAGCGACTTTTCTATTTTTCTGTCATTTGCTTAAAAATTCTTCTGCTGAGTCAGGAAGATAGGCATCAACATCATTGTCTCTGACCCAAGGTTTTGACTAAGTCTTGGATCCTTAATGTGAATCAAGTGTCCTTCAAGTTATATATAAGTTAAGTTTGTGGACATCTCTTATTTTTCCAAGATGAACATATCTGCTTAGGAAATATACTTCAGGCTTTTCTCTTTTTTTACTATTATGCAGCAACTATTAAATATTGTTTATCTATTTTGCAAAGAGTTGCTACATTTAATAATACTTCTGAAACTGGCCTTCAGAAATGTACATTATTGAAAACTAAGCTAATGTTCAATTTATGTGGCTTCTTTGAAAAATATATTTCATTTAATATGAAATAATACATTTCATTTAAAAAATAATATAGAGTTAGGTGGGGTGACACACACCTGTAATCCCAGTTACTTGGCAGGCTGAGGCAGGAGGACTCCAAGTTTGAGACCAGCCTCAGCAATTTAACAAGTCCCTAAGCAATTTAGCAAGACCCTGTCTCAAAATAAAAAATAAAAAGGGCAGGGAATGTTGCTCAGTAGTAAAGCACCCCTCCATTCAAACCCAAGTACCAATAAATAATTAGCACAGAGAAATAAAAACAAAAACATAACCTTGAAATAGCACTATATAGAGAACCATTGATCTATATAAGTATATTCTACTTCAATTTATATTCATGCACACCTTCACTCACATTCAGACATAAATATGAAAAGAGTTTTGTCTATATACAAACAATAAATGCAAGTTTATATATGAGCATATATAGATGTTTCTGGTATTATATATACTCACATACATAAGCCACAGTTTATATGCATATGGTTTTTTAACTAGCTTTTTAATGGCAGTTTATACTAACTCCTTTATTCAAAATATATTCATTCTCTTTCAGTAGTATTTTTGTGACTTCCTCATATTTTATTTTCCACATTAACGTATTTATCTTTACTTCAGTGCACAATGGGGAATGCTTTTCAGCCAATCACATGGGTTTGAATAAGTTTAGATTTTCAAATGTGCTACCCTAAGAATAGTTATGCAATAAAGAAGAATCTCTGTGTCCTTAAGGCTGCTTATATTCAGTTCTCTACAGGCATGATAGTTCCACACAATAGATGAAAAAAAAAAGTTTCAATCAATATAAAAACCAGATGATACTGTAGGAACATGTTATTCATACCAAAATAGAGATAAGTACCTAGGATGGCCTAGCACATTAAGTTGAGAAAAGGTGTCAGATCTTCTTACTGCTAATATAGCAAGGATGTTTCAGTCATAAATCCCTGAAAACTAAGTGGTTGTTTGATTTTTGATTGCTGGTTTATTTTTCAATATATGACTTATTCCAATCAAACGTAAATGAGAACTTGCTAGTTTACCAAAGGAATCAAATAGCAATGCACCCATGTTCCCACTCTTGCTGTGTCTGTCTTTTCAGGTGACCGATGGGACTGAGTGCAGGCCCTACAGCAATTCCGTCTGCGTGCGCGGGAAGTGTGTGCGCACGGGCTGTGACGGCATCATTGGCTCAAAACTGCAGTATGACAAGTGCGGGGTGTGCGGAGGAGACAACTCCAGTTGTACAAAGGTTATTGGGACCTTCAATAAGAAAAGGTAATACGATAGAATGCTTGCCCTTACGTGAGTTGAACAAAGCTTTAGACACTTGCAAAATTGATACAGGGGACTCACATTACCTCATAAGCTGTTTTTAGGGGAAGTCTGACATGGCTGTAGGAACACATTAGGAATGTGAGAAGGGAAGGAGAGGAGATGAATAAAGCCCTGATAACTCAGGAGAAACTCCCCGTGCCTCTGGAGAAAGATGGATGGCCACAGCTGTAGGGGTCAAGAGGACAGCACCCAGCTACCGTGATATTGTGCAGATCTGTTACCCTAAAACATAGTTGATGAAAGGATGCCTGGTTTCTATTTTAACTAATTTTTTTTTAACAAAGCAGTTTTTGCTAGCCCGAGTTTTTGTTGAGAAAGCATGTCTTCTTGCAAACTGTAAGTTAATGGAAGCGGTGTGGATACCAATCCTGGTTTATAATGAATATTCTGGTTTATATCTATTCTAAAGAAAATTCATAAAACAATGTCTCCTGCATCTTTAATTGCACTTTAAATATGTAAGTGTATAAATTACCTATTTCTGGCATCAAATGTTATGCTAACAGATAGGATGGCTAACTCTAATGGAATACAGGATTATTTTTCTTCTTTGCAAAACCACTTTTTGCTGAGTGGTATTAGCTGAGTGGACCTATATTCTTGATGTAGGTGCTGTGTTATCTTTAGAGAGTGAAGCACAAACCAAACTAACTATAAGAGTTTAATTAAAAGATTAAGCATCATGTCAATGTAAACACTGGAAATTATCTTTGACAAGATAAAAAAAATGTATGGCTAAAAATTTATTCTGGGTTAAAATGTGTACCACCAATCTTACTTGATAATGAAATAATAATTAATTACCCAACTGTGTTGAGCCATCTGTGTTGATAAATCCTGCACCTCCAATTATATCCTGCATTTTTATACATCTCAAAGACATGTTATAGATGATGAATTTAGCCATTTGTTTAACAAATGAGGAGACTGGCGCTATGAAAGTTTAATATGTACAGACTTCTATGTGGCTAATGGGTGTTAAGCTGAGCAGAGGCTATAACTTAAGTACAGGCCATTTTGTAATTTTAAAAATAATAATAAAGGAAGGCAGGAATGCAACGAGGAAGAAAAGAAGGAAGGTAAGGGAAGGAGGAAAGAAAGATTTATAAACTAGATGGGGAATAAAGTTAATTTTAATAATATTTATCATAGACATATATCCTGTGTATTCTTCTACATAAAGCTTAAACTCCCTTTTAAAATGCTAAATATAGGGCGAGAGCTGTAGCTCAATGGTAGAGTGCCTGCCTCGAATGTATGAGGCACTGGGTTAGATCCTCAGCACTACATAAAAATAAATAAAGATATTATGTCCACCTACAACTAAAAGAAGAAAGAAAGAAAGAAATTAAAATTTAAAAAAGATTTAAAATGCTAAATATAACATTTTAAGTTCTTTATATTGACAACTAATATCTTCACATTAGATGTCACATGAAAAGATGAAGAAATTCATGATAAAGACAGATGATGTGCAGTACAACCACTTGTAAACTGGTTTGACCAAGACTACATTATGTGATACAAATAATCTGTTTGAATATTCCAAATAAATTACCTAGGAGTAACATTAATCTTGGAGCTAAAATATTTGCAATTAAGCTCTAGTTCAAAACAGTAATTCACTAGCCATGTAATCTTTGAACAGTCACTTAAATTTTTTTATCATGATATTTCTCAAAAGTAGAATGGAAATAAGAGCAATCATCTTGCAATTAATGAAAGCATAGGTGAGGGTTAAATGAGGCAATACAAACTAAAATACTTCAAGTTCACACCTGTTCACAAACATGACCCCTCCTCCCTTAGCTCAGTAAATGGTGATTCAGTTACTTAAGCCTACAATTTCAAGTCGGCTATCACTTCTCATTCTCTCTCACACCCCGTATTGATCTACCCGTGAATCCTTTTGACTTGCTTCCCACCATTTATCCAGATGTGTTGCCCTTTACCATGACTTCCTCCCCAGTCACCAAGTTTTTTTTGTTTTGTTTTTTGTTTGTTTGTTTGTTTGTGATGCTGGGGATTGAAACCAGGGTCTATGCATGCCAGGAAAGCTCTCTTCCAAGTGAGCTGTATCCCCAGCCCTCCCATGTCTTGCATGGCTGACCAGCAGTCTTCTCACTGATCACTCTGGCCCTGGCCCCTCACAGCCTCTTCTTCCTCCCGAGAGAAGAGTGACTGTTTTGTTACCTAATCAGATCCTGGGGTTCCTTGGTCAGTACTCTCTGACGGCCCCATGTCACTTAGTGTCCAAGACTGCATTGTCCCCTAGCCTGCTGGGTGGTGCCTCATTGACACTGGTCCTCTCGCTCTGCTCCTGATTCCTTTCAAGCAAACAACTTTCATGTATGGGCCATTTCCTCTGCCTGGCACACTTTCCCCAATTAATAAGCTGTGGTCTCTGTAGGCCTCTGTCAAATATCACCTTCCCAGATAATGGCTACGCTAACGAGCAGGAAGACCATTCCCCAATCCCGCCATTACTCTGTCTTCTGACCTTGCTGAGTTTCTTTGCAGAAAATATAAGTTTTATTTAGGGGAAGGGTGAGGGGGTATGACTGCCCCCTAAAATGTCATTTCCATGACTGCATGCTAAGTATGTGAATGAATTTACTCCTTCATGACAGGCAGGCACTGCTCTTGGTACTGTGCAGATAGCCCTGCACAAAACCAACTTCTCTTGCTCTGCCAGTCAGACTTTATAATAGTTAAGTGAAAACAACCTCATTTGGTAGTCAGGGAACCTGGTTGCTCTCCAGAATTTAAATGATACCCAACAGGATGTAGAGACACTGAAATATTAATCACAAGATAATGGAACCCATCTTTTAATTAGTGCCTATGAAGTCGGGGCACTAATCCTCATCCTTACCAGTGCCTTGTAAAACTCAGCTTGAAAACCTGTTATGGTGCTGACCTCACTGATTCTCAGCAAAATAAGACAGGCTCTGAGGAGCAAGATAAAAACAAAAAGCTCTCCTGCTAATTTTCTTACCATTCAGTTTTTCTTTTTCTTATATCTGGCTTAGTATCATTATAACAAGAACTTAATTTCAGTTAACTGTTATAAAATATGGATAAGGACTTCAGGCAAGGGGACATGGTGAAAAGAACTCAAATTGGGATTCAAGAGACATGACTTCTAAGCCAAACACTGCCACTAGTGAATTAGAGTGAACTTGTTTAAATACTTGAAAATATCCCTTTTTCTTAGCTTCGAATGAAAGATGACACTCCCCAACATTCTCCCTGCTGTTGTTTGAAGCCACCATGGGTTTGCATATCGTTGATTGGTATTAGACACTACAAAAACAAAAAAGGTCTGGAAGAAAGGATTATGCATAATATATTTGAAAATTGAAATGATGAATCAAGCTGGAATAAGCAATATCCTCAGCCTGCATCTTCTTTCTTCAACACTGTCAGAAACTCTGATACCTACTTGGCAATTACTGTGGAACAGATGCCCAATAAACAGGGCACTTCCTTAGGATGAGCTTCCCCTTCCATCCAGATGAAATTCTGGAGCAGGGGAAAGACTTGGATTTTTAGTGTTTGGGTAGTGACCCCATAGCTTCTAACCGTGAGTACGAAATAGACAACTCAATTTCATACAACTCAGTCAAACTGCACAAGGAATTTCTATTTAACTGCACCAGGAGTTTCTATTTAAATAAGTGGAAAATTATTTAAAGTAAGTGGTGGGACTACTGGTGTAGTCCCTTGGTGCTTAATTAGCATTTGTTTCCTAGCATTTGCACAGATTTATGAGTATTAGAGATATCTGTGACTTTTTTCCCTTCTCCTAAGCAGATGGCCTAGGGACCTATCTTATTTATCACCCACTGTAACATTTTATTTGGTTTGTCATAATATCTCCATGAATACTAATTTCAGGGAGTTTTGATAAGGTGTTAATTTTTTTTTCTTTTATTTTCATGCTGGTAGTGAGTTTTCATTACTCACTAGAATTTTAACTTCTATTTAGTGTCCTATCTCTTAACATTAAATAACTTAATAGTCGTAGTAGAAATGGAAACAGAGCTTTTGTTCTGACCTTAGACCAGCAAAGTACGAAATCTGTGCCCTTGAACCAGTCCACATTGAAGCAGTGTTGGGAACCCCGAGAGCGCTGCTCTTGGTACCCCACTCTACATGATGGCCATTCAATTGGCCTGGAGTATGGCATAAGCTTTGGAACTTCTAAAAGATCTTCAGGATATTCCAATATGCAAATAAGTTTGAGAAACAGTAAAATTTGCTATGAGATTGAATGAGGGCAAATGTTTCTTATTATCTTGTGTTTACATATGTCACATTTATATAGAAAAGAATGTAAAGTGACATTGTAAAGATGATAGAGTAGGAAAAGAATGGCAATGGTTGAATTAATTTTTAAATGAAATTGGTATAAATTTTTTAATCAAGGTAGGTTGTTGACTTCATCCTAATTTTGAACATCTCAATACAAATGCAGATGGTCACTTTTAATGTGTCATTAGAAAATGCCTTTCTAAAGTCAATCTAAATTAATCTTTTAAAAATATTGAAACTTCTTGGGAAGATGTTTAGTGAGTTTCTTTTTGTTCATCCATTTGCTGAGAGTTTACCTGTTTTTTTCTCTTTGCCCCCCTCCTCTGTGGAAATTCCTCTCTCCAGTAAAGGCTACACTGACGTTGTGCGGATCCCTGAAGGGGCAACCCACATAAAAGTCCGACAATTCAAAGCCAAAGACCAGACTAGATTCACTGCCTACTTAGCCCTGAAGAAGAAAAATGGTGAGTACCTAATCAATGGAAAGTACATGATCTCCACTTCCGAGACAATCATCGACATCAATGGAACAGTCATGAACTACAGTGGTTGGAGCCAGAGGGATGATTTCTTGCATGGTATGGGTTACTCAGCCACAAAGGAGATCCTAATAGTGCAGATTCTTGCAACAGACCCAACAAAAGCTTTAGACGTCCGCTATAGTTTTTTTGTTCCCAAGAAGTCTACTCAAAAAGTAAACTCTGTCACTAGCCACGGCAGCAATAAAGTGGGATCACACCTTCCACAGCTACAGTGGGTGACAGGCCCCTGGCTTGCCTGCTCTAGGACCTGTGACACGGGCTGGCACACCAGGACTGTGCAGTGCCAGGATGGAAACCGGAAGTTAGCCAAGGGATGTCTTCTCTCTCAGAGGCCTTCTGCATTTAAACAATGTCTGCTGAAGAAATGTTAGCCTGTGGTATGCTCTTAGGCACAACGATGACTGTAGGATCCATCACTGTGGTGAACATGAGGTCTACCCAACACACAGAAAGTCATGCTTCAATGTCATTGTCACCAGGAGTTGAATTATGGGCAGAATCTGCTCTCTGTGACCAAAAGAAGATATGCACTGCTTCATGTGACAATGGTAACCTTGGAATATAGGAAAAGTTTTTAGTTATTGAACATCCCCTGGACCTACAAGAATGGAAAACACACTGTTAGAATCAGGGGACGTTTGAAGATGGCAGAACAGTCTCCCCCTTGTCACCTACCTCTTACAGAATGTCTTCAAAGACATCGTAATCATTTTCACCCATGATGCACAGTAGCTTATTTTTACTGTTTGTAAATACCTTCTTCCTTGGTATGTCACTTTATATCACTTGGTTCTATTAAAATATATATACATATATAAATATATATATGTATGTATATAAATATATAAATATATATATATATATATATATACATACATACATATATATTTCTATAAAATATTGTTTGACCAAAGTAGGTCTGCAGCTATTTCAACTCTTTCCAGTTTCCAGAAAGAGCTGTGGATGTTTTACTGGAAATTAAGAACTTGCTGCTGTTTTAACAAGATTTAGTATGTTTTCTGAACACAGGAGATAAAACATATTCAAAAAACATTTTAACAGCAAGCATCTCTTGAGCAATTCTGAAAAGGAAAAGGATCTCATTGTATCTAGTCATTTAAATACACACATGGGTCCATTTACTTAAATCATTGAATGCCTGTATTTTTTTCAGGCAGCCAGCCAAATTTAATATATGATTAGGATGTAGAAGTAGTGTGTGTGTGTGTGTGTGTGTGTGTGTATGTGGTCAGCATTCAGGAGTCTAAAAATTAATTTTCCTCGTGTTGGAATTTAAAGGATAAAAACACATGTCATCCAGTTTTCAATTTAGATTTTCACAACTTCTTTCTCTTTCTACGGCTCTTATTTGATATCTCACAATGTGTAATGTACATGCAGAAACCACATCCCACACCCTCAACACTGGTATACCTCTTACCAGCAAGCCTTTAAAATGTGTTTGTTTTTGCTTGTTTGTTTGTTTTCTTGATGGGTTCCAAAACACCTGCAATGTTTTGTACTTCTTGTCAACCTGGTTTAATAGGAATATTAAAAATCACTTGGAAATTAGTCATATCTAGAAGAGATCATTATCATTAATGTGGTCAATGCTAAAAAAATAGTGTTTAACATGAATAAGGCTGTTTCCACACAATAGGCAATAATTTCTTAATATTTTAATATAATTCTACTTTACTAAAGATTTTTCCCAACTGGAAAGTATTTGCTTGTATCAGTAAGTGTTTGAGTGACAAAAATATCATGATTTCCAGGAAGTCTGTTGCTTTTAGTTCCATAGCCTGTGTAGGTAGGTTATAAGTTTGAACAGTTAGACATTGAAAATATTTTACAATCATGCATATAAAAGTCTTTTTTTAAATAAATACTGTAAACTGCATTCTCCCATTTCATAACTCAGAAAATCAAAGGTATTTATTTCACTGGTATTTCTTTCTTCTTTGTGAGATATCACAAAGTTAATTAATTGTTTTATATAAAATTTTATAATAATAGAACCAAATGTGCCTATTGTTAAAAAATTTGCATATAAGAATTTTAGGGAATTGTTGTTGGAGTTTCATTAAACTTCTGAGAGTTTATTTTTATTATAATATTTTATAACATAAAAGAATTACCTAGTTGATCTGGCTTTATCACATCTGTTTCAGTGGATCAGGAATATGGATATCATTCTTTGAAGTATTGTCTTTGGAAATTCCTTTTGTAAAACAGATAATGTTTTACAAAACAAATGACTATTCAGATTTTCACAGACTGAGTTTGCTTTAGAAATCGTAGTTTTATCTTAATAAATTATCATTTTAAAAAAATGGAGTCTATATAAGACTGATACATACATTTGTTGGTGAGCACCAAATACAAGGGCAGGGACAAAAGCCAGTCAAATGGGTAAGAAAAAAATTTAAAATCTCATTAATTCAAACATACTTTATAGTTTTAATATTTTTCCTAATTTAAAAAATAATTTTAATCAACTAACTCAAATATCACAAGATTCATTTTTATATTTTGTGATTCTACTTCCAACAACATTAAAAAAATTAAAGAGTACACAAGGCTGTCTCCTACTCTTCTTTACTGTATTCATAGATTTTTAATAGGATTTATCCATGATTCATTCTTCCCCCAAATAATGAAGTTTTACACTTCTCTTTGAAAAAATCTTAATAGGGTTAAAACAAATAAACCACTATTCCATGTTTATAAGGAGCTTCTTTATCTTTTTTTAAAAAAAATAAGTTTTAATAGATTGACTGAGGAATGTATGTCTAAAATCCTGAGAAACGTGATACAGACTGGAACCTGAAATTCATATGTGGAGTGTTCAGACTAATGAACAAAGGAAAAAGTACTTTTCAACTCCATCTAATTCAGTCCAGTTTGATATTGTACTGTCTTACCTTTCCTTTGTTGCATCTTGATTTTTTTTTAAAAAGTATAGGATTCAGGATGTTAAAAAAAAAGAAGAAGAAAATGTATAGTTTGTTTGAAAAATGCTCAGGTTTATAAAAATCTAATCTCACTTATATCACTAAATGCTTCAGCATAAGTTTCATTAGATACAAAGGGAGGCCAGAAGAAAATAACATGTATTTGTTCTAGATCATAAAAGATCTAATTAACCCTTGACTTTTTGTTTTGAAGTATAACATTGGTATAATTTATTTGACAAATTCAACTCCCTTTGCCTTCCTGTGGAAACAGTTTTATCCCATAAAGTAAGAATTAAGGGATGAATCACAAATTTTTTTTAAAAAAAGTTGCAGCACTGAAAAATAAGTAATTTATTGTTTTTGCAACTGGTATGTGAATTTGTGTGATAAAATTATTTATTCTTATTTAACAAAAGTATGTGCAAATTCTTCTATATTTAAAATGTTTTGCTGTTGTCCTGCTTTTTAATTTATGCTTCTTGTTTGTGTATAAAGTACACTTTGTGAGTTTACATGATATACAGCACTGGTTGCTTTTGTATTTTTTTTTTTACAGAAAGCTTTCTGCATGAAATAGACTTATGTGTATGTGTATATATTCTTTATGCACCCTTACTTTGACACTATCACTTTTCATTGTAAGGAAAATTTTAATCTTTCATGACTAGAGGTGTTCATTACCTGTAGCTTTGTTCATAAGTCTTTCATATCCTGTAAAACTCTTTTTTTCCAAGTCACAGACAAGAAAAATGCTTATTCAGTCAAATAAGGTGCAAGTTCCAAACTCGAATACAATACATAGCTGGGAGCTTCCCATAGAAACTATAACAACAAGACAGACTCGTTCACATCACTGATGAACATGGATGAGGAGTTATTGGTGCATGATCTGAAAGTTGCGCATGCACACCTCTGAGAGACATGAAAAAATGATAATGAAACCAGAAATCATCTTTTGATGATTTAGATTTTTGATGTTAGAGATATTTCCCAAAATCAGTGAGTTAATATCTAGTGTCTGTAGGATTCCATACATGAACACGAATTGGATTTGTGTGGTTTAGATGCTGGTAGTCCTGTTTCTTCAAATGGGGCTATCCATTGACTGAATGTGAGTGACATTTTGTGATTACCATTCAGTCACAGAGCATGGTGATTGTACCTGGGATAGGCAGACACCATTGCTAAGACCAGCTTGTCCCTGACTGTGACTTCAATCCGATCCCAGGAGGCAAAGCACCCTTACACTCACTGACCATATCCGGGGTCAATCTCTGGTTCTGATGCTTCCCTGCAAACTCCTTCCTTGCAAACAAGGTCTCTGTAACAGTGTAGGTGAGGACATCAACTAGATTCAGGAGTCTATGACTTAGAGGTCACTATTTATAAAATAAGATCGAATTTAATAATAAATGAATTTTACTAGGAGTCAGGTTGAATGTGAAATCTCATTGCATGATGGGTGACAGTACTGATTCCTTTATAACTAAACTTGAGGTCACACAAATACCCTACATTTTTAACATTTCAAAGCACAAAATAAATGAAATAACCCTGAGGAAAGAAGTGGACATCTAGAGCTATAAAAGAACCAAATTCAAGGTGCTTTATCACTTAGGTACACCAAAAAGGAACTTGTATGTTTTCTCTATTATTTGTTTTTTCATTTGTCAGAAACATATAGTTTTAGATCAATTTATAAAACTAAAATTGTTCCTAATAGCCCTCTGTTAGCATGAATTATAGAAAGAACATATTGAATTATATCACTATGAAACACATACTTTCTATTCAATTAAATATAGGAACATATTGAAACATGAAACCACGCACTAGTCAACCAAAAAATGGGAATACAGATGGTGTTTGGATCAGCAAAGCATTTAATCAAGCAAATGTCTGGTGACTTGGTATGATTTTAGTGCAGGTTTTGTGGGGAAAATAAAGGAATATGTTGTTAAATGTTGTTGGTTTTGTAAGAGAGTAAGATTTTAGCACACACAGTAGCTGTCTCAGTTAATTGCACCTTACCAATATACTAGCACTTTAGCAATAATTTTGCTGTCTCTAATCCTTATTCTGTGGCTCCATTAACTACTTGTGAGCTGTGTAGGTCAAATGAAAAGATAAATAAAAATCCATGTTCTAAGGCACTGCCACATTAGCAACCCATGGTACAACACTGTGAGGAAAAACTCATTTATAAATTAAACAGGGAATTGTTTTTCTTAAATTTTTCTTTGGCACATCTAATGAAGAATTTTAACTCTTTTTGAGGTGCTAACATTTTCCCTAATCAGCTATCAAATGTGCTATATCGTTTTGAAAAATTTTTTATTGGTGCATTATAATTATACATAGTGTAATTCATTGTTACATATACTTATATTCACACCACAGAATCTGGTCAGTTTCATTCCCTACAACCCTCCTTGTGCCTCTCTTAATCAATCCCCCTGTTCCCCTTCTTCTATTCTCCTGGTTTCCTTTCTATTTCTAAGTTATTATTTTTTTCTAACATGAGTCTATAATTTCCAAGAAAGGCCTCCAAGCTTTTTTGTCAAGTTTGAGCATCATTTAATACTGAACGTTAAATAAATAAGCACAGTCAATGGTTATTTTTTGACCAACCATGGTCAATAGCATAGACCCTCTGTACCTCTGAGGATGTTTAAATTCAAAACTTGAAGAATGTCAGGCCAGATTCATGAGTAGATGAATCATGTTTTACACATTCCATACAAATTTCCATGTATATTTGGCCTAACATTTTTTAAACTTCTCAATATTTTATGACCACACTAAATATTTAGTGACCATATCTTAGCCTTTTAACAACTCAATCTACTAGAAGCATTGCTACCTAAACTGAGGGTATGTTTAAAATAGAAGTTTATACTCTGTGTAACCTTGTAAGGCTAAACTTTTGATTAAGAAATATTGAAATAGTATGCACATTATGCACTCAGGCATGACATTATTGGTGCGTCTCACTACAATTAGCAGTTGACAAACTCTGCTTACGTTTTATCAATGATTTATCAGTCAGTGAAAATCATGCACATGCTTTGTGAATAGAAACTTCAGATAACTAAGTAGATTGCATAAATATGTTACATTTGATGTAAGCAGTGGCACAGGCACAGATTTTTGAATTCTGAATTAGTGTCTGTGAGTAAATTCAAGTAGTAAATCTACGTAGGTTTCATTTTGAAACATACTTTCATGGTAAACAATAATAATGAAGATTTACATAACTAAATATTAAATATAAAATGTAAGCTCTTAGTATCCTCAGTATTCCAGAAGGGATGGTGTATAATGCAATCAGAAGACCAAAAATTGTTGAAAACTAAGACCATCATGTTTTAAATGTCTCTTCAGCTTTGGTAAACTACAAATTGGAATCAATACTCTAAGCATTACTGTGTCTTATACCCTGCATTACATAATTGCTCTGTTATTCAGGTAAACCGCTTGAACTGAGCCTCCAGGGACTTATTCTGTAATATTTTTCATTGAGGAACAATATCCTACTTTGTAAAATACTTCCCTGTGTGTGACTTAACAACTGTAAAATTAAGCATTGGTCTTGTGGTTTCAGTGGACATAATAAATACAAATTGTAAACTAGGTTAAAGTATGTACTGAATGTTTTGGAGGTGAAAACTATTGTCCATATATTTTTAATTTTCCCATAACCTTGGTAGCACATAGACAGGTCTCGAGGAAGTCCTAGGTGATCTGTAATTCTATCATCTTTCAACCACTTTGTCATAGACAGTATTTTTTCTTAGTTAAATTACTATAGAACTATTGCTTCAAGCTATTCTTACCAGACTATCACTCTCTAAAGTCTTCTTAGTATTAAGATTAAACAGCAAACAAATGTGGCTTCATTTTAATTTTTTTGTACATAAACTTATTCCAGAAAGAGTTGAGATATGAATACAAGCATAGAATATTTTTTTAGTTTGAAATTCATTAGAAAACTCTATATTTGCTAACAAATTTATAGCATTAAGTTACCTAAGGATATTAATTTCTTTTAAATCCTGAAATCATATACTTTAGTGTATGTTGCAAACACTGAATTTCCCTCTCATCTCAAACTGTAGTTTAGAATAATGATACTTTAAATTTTACCCATAGTAGGACATATATATTTCAAAGAAATCATTAAAAAATCCTATACTTTTAAAAAGATGATATATAAACTTGGTCATCACAATATGGCTAATATTTGTTAAGCATCTCATTGGGTCAGACACTGTAGTAAACATCTCACAAACCATCTCTGTGGTCTTGTGAGGTTGGTCTTAAGATTCCAGTATTACAGATGACTGTCATGATATGATTACCATCAGTGGTTATCTAGCATTCACCCAAGTGCCAGGCATAATTGAGAGTACCTTAAATATTTATTATCAATCACTAACAGCTTTAATCACTGAGAATCTTAAATCTTTATGGACTGTGTGTCTGAGGGAGGGATTACTGAGTGAATGGAGAACTGTGAGAGATTGGGGAAGTGCAGAAGTATGTACTGAATTTACTGTTTAAAGGCCCAAATTTGGACCCCAACAGTAAATCAAGAACAGTCTTAAAATTCCAATAAAAATTGCAAGAAAATGACAGAGTATAAGGCAAGCAGTATGGATAAAATCAGAAGCCAAAGTGGAACAAAAGATTATTGTTTAAGGAGAAAGGAGAGAGAATTTGACTTGGAAAACTAGTAAATTACTGGCAAGTGTAAAGAGGTATAAATTGGTGTGAGGGGTAGCTTTTAAATTAGAGAATGAACAAAGAAATGGTTAAAAAATGAAACTGGAGATGTTTGTGAAGTCCAAATTATTCTTAATGCTTTTAATTCTGTTGTCTTTCTAGATATATCATTGAGTGTTTTCTCTGCTCAATCAAACTCATGTTTATACAACAGAATCAGTGATCATAGTCTGTCCCTTGTATCCACAGATTCTCCATCCTTAGATTTTGACATCTGTGAAGGGTCCTGGAACCAATTGACTCTGCAAGTTTTTATATAGACACAAGTGAGGAGTTATAGTAGAGAGTTCTAGCTTTCTTAGTTCCGTCCATGTCTATCACATGAGTAAACATGGACTCCAGGATGACTGACTATCTGGGGTAGTTCCCAGGAATGGAGGAAAGCAAGCTAACTCAGGACCCCACTTAATGCCTATCTAGGAAATGACCCATAAGAAGATGTCTCTTTCTTCTAGATACCAAAAATGTCTCCCTGTTTCCTCCTAACTCATGATTTGTCTTCAACTGGAATCACAGACCTTCTGTTGCTGCTGTTATTATTTATGACTGCATCTAAATCTTGGAAAGCTAAAAAGTGTATTTCTTAATTATTTTTAAGGACACTCAATCTAAAAACAGTAACTGAACTCATTTTAGGTTAAAAAGAGTTGTTTCATCTATAAAAGTGTCTAGAGTCATTAACCTTTTCATCTTCCAAACATATCTGGTACCTAATAGACATTGTGAAGAATTTGCCTGGATCGCTTCTTCAGCTCAAGTTTCTTTATTATCCTTCTGCCTACTCAAAGATGTTTTCTATTGCCCCTTAGATATCCCTAGAATGTTTTTAGGCAGTTTCCAGGAAACACAGAATTGGACAGGATCAGGCATAAGATACAAAAGACGCAGAGCTTTTGTAGGGAGAACCCTATAGAAGTTTCTGAAGGTATGACCAGCTCTGAGTTGATCAGATAGGACATTCATCTATGAGAACAAGCAACAGATGCTCCTTCCTTTAAGGTTATGCTAAAACCAACCAGATATTGGCCTCTCCACTGCTATCACCCGAGTCATGCTACCAGTACTTTCTACCCTGAACAACTGCAAATACCTCCTGGTGGGGCTTCCTGTTTCATCAACAGCAGGACTGGTCATGAAAATCTGTAAATCAGATCATTTAACTCCTCTGCTAAAAACACTCCAGGACCTTTCTGCTTTTCTCAATATAAAGAACAAGGTCCTTTCCAGGATCTGAAGAGCTCCACATAATTCGGTCCAAGCTACCTCTCTGATGGTCCCTCCTGTTTCCTACCCCTTGCTTCACTGCTCCAGCTGCTTTGCCTCCCTGTTATTCTTCACTGCATTAAAAATGAGCCATGTCTAGAAACCTATGCCTAGAACACTCTTCTCCAGATATGTACTAGCTCCACCCCATTCCATTAAGCCTCTGCTTAAATGCAATCTCTCAACTCCAACCACGAATAGATACATTCCTCCATTTTTCTTCATGGAATTTATCATCACTTGAAACTTCATTATATATCCATTTATACAAATTTATCAACACTGTAATGTACTCAGATCTACACATCAACACTGTAATATACTCAGATCTGCAAGTGTTCATATTTTGAGCACTTAATCTTTATTTTTCACTGCTATAGCACCAGCTCCCAGGAATGCAATGCATGTAAGTGCTTAAGAAGTATTTTTGAATACATGAGTGAGTGAGTGAATGAATTGATGGCACTCTAAGCAGGTAGTCAGCATTAAAGGCTTCAAGGAATAGTCAATGCTCTCCCAACAGGTAGGCAAATGTGACAATGGAAATATTTTTAACAGGCAACACTGTTAAAAAAAAAAAAAAAAAAGTCAAGTCAGGACGAGGCTAAGGAATCAAGGGATTCAGAATAGTTGCAAACACTCAGCTATTTGACTCCAGGATTTGACTCCAGGATTGACTCTGTTCCAGTTTTGATGCTTTTCTAGAAAGCAGACTTCTACAGATATCCACAATTTCCATCCCTTTATTATTAAATCAAACACTAACCTAAGTATTGCTGTGAAAGTATTGTGCCACTCAATTGTTACTACTTAACAATTGGAAGATTATCTCAAGTTAACTGGGAAGGCCCAGTGTAATCTCACAAAGTCTAAAAAGCAAAAGAGAAAAGAAAAAGGAGGAAGTCAGAGAATTCCAAGCCTGAGAAGGATTCCATGGTTCCATTGCTGACTTAGAAGATGGAGTAAAGGAGCCACACGTTATGGAATCTAGGTGCATCTAGAAGCTGAGAACCACTGTGACCCACAGCCAGCAGGAAACAGGGACTTGAGTTTCACAACTGCAAGAAACTGGATGTGTACTCCAAAATTCATGTATTACAGACTCAATACCCAGTGCAACAGTGTTGAGAGGTGATACATTTAAGAGGGGATTAGGTCATGAGGGCTCTGACCTCATGCATGGATCAATGCCATTGCTCTGGGAGGACATTAGTTATCTCTAGATTGGTTCCTTATAAAAATATGACTTCAACCCCCGGGGTTCTCTCTCACCATTGCATCTTCTGCCATGTTATGATGCAGCAAGAAGGCCCTCATCAGATGCTAACTTCTCAACCTTGGACTTCCAAATCTTCCAGAATTGTGAGAAATTAATTTCTTTTCTTTATAAATATCCTATTCTGTAGTATTCTAATATAGCAGCAGAAAACTGACTAAGCCAAACATGGAATCAGATTCACGTTTGGAGGGATCAGAAGAACACAGCCTTACAAATATCTTAATGCCAGCCTTGTAAAACCCAGAGCAGAGACTTGGCTGAGACACTCTGAGCCTCCAGAACCCTGAGATAATGAAGGAGTGCTGTCAACAGGTGCTGAATGCTTGACTTTGGTTTTGGTACTAATAGAAAGTGATTACATAGATGAAAACAGGTAAAGATCACAAGTTAGAGTGGAACAAAAGGAAGGCTGCCACGTTAGTAACCTGAGCAGATATTGGGGCTAAACTACAAGGGAGGAGCATAAGAAAAACAAAGTATCACAGCTACTAGATTTGGCACAAAATCTTGGAGTAAGACCACCCACCATCCAATCTAATGTTTGTATAGAGTCACTCACTCCAGGGGTCCAGATATACCCTCTGACTCAAAGACAGGTTTATCTAAAATCTTGGTGTGGAGCGAGACTTTGTAGCCACAGTGAGGATAAGCAAAAATGTTGCTGAAAGGTTGGTCACATAATTTAAAAGTTAATGAAGATTTTTGTTCATAAAGTGCTGTTAGCCAACCATCCCCAAATTTAGTGATTTCATGAGTCAGAGCTCCACCCAGTGATACGACTGCTGCACACATCACATGACTGTAATGTCCAAGCCAGGCTCTATCACACACCTGGTGTTGATGCAGGGACAGCCAGGAGGTCAGTCCCAGCTGGGTCCCTCTGTCTTTATGTAATCTTTCCAAGTAGGGTCCTCTCCAGCAGGGTTCTCAGTCTTCTTACACAGCATGTTATATTTCCAAGAGCAGGTATTTCCAGAGAATCAAGAGTAATCTACCAGGCTTTTTCTATCCCATTCTTTCAAGTTCCATCTCTTAATCACACTAAGTAAAAATTTTCCATTATGTGAATCAACAGCTCTCAAAGATCCCTCCTTGATTCTTCCAGAAGTTGAAAAATTATAAAATATGCCACCCTTTGTTCTTTGGTTACCAACTTCTTCATTTTTCTTTGCTAACATATCATTTTACACACACAAAAGAAGAAGAGACTTTCATTTCAGAAACAACCATGTTTAGAATTGCAAAAGCATAATAGTCAACAATTAAATGGAAAGCATTACACTTTGTATTCATTTGAGTACAAAAC